GGAGGGAAGGGGAAGTGGCTGTGGCCTGGGGTATGAGAGCTGCCAATTCTACAGGGAGGAGGGGAAGTATTGACGGTGCAGGAGATCTGGACACTGTTAGCCGAGATGGCTTTCAGGTTTGCCAAGAACTAGCAGAGCAATGCCTGGAAACATAACAGAAAACAGAACAAGGAAGAGGTTATCAGAATAAAACATGCATGGCAGAGCACCTCTGAGTCACCTTTTTATATCCCCCACGGACCAAGCAGAGTCCCTTGTGCATAGCAGGCTCTTACTCTATAAATAATTGAGAGAGGGAGATAAGAAAGCAAAGGAAGGAAGGAAAGGAGGAGTATGAGAATATGGCCAATTCTTGAATAAGCTTGATTCCGTAAAACAAGGAAAGAAAGAAAAATAGAAAGTCCTGCACATTCTAGTTTCACACAGCTTGCTCACTTAAAAGGAGTGAATAATTGCCCCACATTCATGTCTGCATCTCTCGTGTATAGGCAAGTGTTCCAGCCTTTAGTACATGCCTCAAAAAGAATCAAAGAACTGAGGCCAGAGGTATGTTCACAGCGCAAGCCTCTTTCTTGCTGCCCACAGGGCACCTTTTCAGGTCCGACACCACAGGGGCTTTCTGACAGCCAGCCAGCAGCGTGGTGGCTTACCCCAGCTGTGCTCACCTTTCCCAGCATTAATGGAGCAGTAGGTCTCAGGAGCCCGGAAATTAGATAATAGTTGGCTGTGAGAATGCTCATTCCTAATAAGTTTGTGCTAACAGGCCACATGCTAATTAAGTTGGGGAAATTCGATTTGGAATATGATATCCTTTTATTGTCACACAATAGGATTTGGAGGAGTTCTCACTATTATTATTTCGGGTTCAAATAAGACCTATAAATAATGACATAGATTATAGATAGATATAGATATAGAGATAGAGATAGAGATGATATAGAGATATAGATACAGATACAGATATAGATATAGATGCAGATGCAGATGCAGATATAGATATTGTTATGGGCCCCCTAAGTTTATGTGTTGAAGTCCTAACCCTCAGTAAGTATCTCAGAATGTGACTGTATTAGAGATAGGGTCTGTGAAGAGGTAACTGAGTAAAAATGAAGTCATTAGGGTGGGGACCCTATTTCAATATGACTGGTGTCCTTATAAGAAGATTAGGACGAAGACACACACAGAGGGAAGAACATGTGAAGACACAGGGAGAACACAGCCATCAGCAAGCCAAGGAGAGAGGCCGCGGAAAAACCAACCCTGCTGATACCTTGATCTTAGACTTCTAGCCTCCGGAATTGTGAAAAAAATAAATTTCTGTTATTCCAGCCACCCAATCTGTGGTATTTTGTTATGGCAGCTCTAACGAACTAATACAGATATCGATATTGCTTGTTTTTGTTTTAATTCTTATATTTTTGGTCAAGAGAAAAGAACATGTTCCTAGAAGTCATTATTAGACGACAATGAATGTCATTATCATGCCACTCTATATATACATCCTAAGCCAATACTAAAAATGTGCTCTAAAATGAGATCCAAATACAACTCATTTATTCCTTTCCACAAAGTCATAAAGCCTCTACGTGGTGATGCTTGATACAAAAGCTGTGGTTTTCAAGGTACTTCTAGTACTTTTCTTTGTTCCCAATAATCTCCTTATTCTGCCAATCTGCCCTTTCGAGGGCTTCCTTTATACTGGGCATTCAGAATCAGCAACTTTGGAATGTCACGAGGCAGTAGAGATAGCCTGGGACCAGCAGACAAAGGCCTGGGTTCCAATCTGGCTATGTCACTTTGCCTGTGACTGAGGTGTCATTACAGCTCTCTATTCTTCTTTTCTCTCACCTGAAATATGAGGGCGATACATATTTATTTCCAAGATCCTCTCTCGTTCTATTGGTTCCATAAGGTGTTTTTTCAGAGAGATACAGAGGTTACAAGATTACATAGAGCCAAATTATCACTTACCCCACAATTTTGCCTTGGTCTCAGATGGTCTCTGTTCATTACCTGATATTCGGAATTCTTTGGAAATAATGTCAAAGGGTCATCAATCGGTCATGGTGACAGAGCTGATAAGGAACAAACCACAGGCTACTTAACTTGCACCCTATCTTCTCATGCTCAGTATAGAGTCTTCATGGTAACGTGGAAGGACACTAGGGTGTAGAGTCTGTTGAAACTGGGTATGAATCCCAGCTCAGCTCTGCTTCTTCCTTCCAGTGTGCCATTGAGCAGTGTTCTCAACCTCCCTGCACCTTAGCATCCTCTGAGGGAAAAATAGTGCAAGGACATGCCTCTCTGGATGATTGTAGGAATTGCATAAAATAGTGCTTGGATGACAGTAGGCACTTGATAACTTCTAAGTAACCACCCCAATTTATTAAAAGCAGTGCCATTAGGAAGTCTTTAACCTCCTCTCAAGCTCGCCAGGAGACTTCAGCAATTGCTAATAGCAATAACACTTACACAGCACTTTCTATATTCTAGAAACTCTTAAGAAGACTTTACATTTATTAACTCACTTAATCCTCATAAAATCACATGGGAGGTGCTATGTTATCAACTCCATTCTATAGATGAAGAAACATACAACACAGAGAAGTTAAATAAGTTGCCCAAGCTGACACAAGCAAGAAGCTGCAGGCTTGGGATTTACCTCTGGGTAGATTGCCTTCTTAACCATCGTGCATGCTAATCCTCATTGCAAGGACTTCCTTGTGAGAAGGGCTTTAAATGGTGTCATTTTATGAGTATAAATAAGAAAAGCCCTATTCTCATTATGAGTAAAAGAAAAAATTCAATGTTAAAAGTCTAAAAATTTCAGAACAATTAAATCATCCATTCTTGGAAGCTTTTGAGTATGCCTTTTATCATCCTTTTCAAATACTTTATAATACTTTATTCCTATTTCTCAAGAAAAATTTTTCTTCCAATTACCTGGAAAATTTTTGATTGATTCAATTTCTTACAAATAAAGTCAACCAAATGCTCTTTGCTGAATCCGCTTAGAATTTACGGTTTATATTCTACTGGAAACCACAGCCAGCCAGATCCAGGAAACATTTAATTATGCAGCCAGGAAAAATCGGATTCATTCAAAACAAAAAAGAATCTGCTAATATCCAAAGAATTTTAAACATGCAAGTGTACAGATGGCAAGCCACTTTACGTGCCTATTATTTGTGATTAAAAGAGGAATTAATTGTTAGGGTGAGAGTCTGCTATTTATCAGAAATTCTTAACATGTGAATTTGGAGAACAATTTATTATATTCTGACAAATTGAACCAGCCATGAAAATGAGAATGGGCCCACATTTACATAGGCCTAA